TAGCCTTTGCAGGGAGTCCTGGAGGGGACCTTGCAGCTGAGGGCAAGAACACAAACGTCAGGGCATTTGGCCAAGGGCCCCGTGCTCACCGGTGGTGCCGCCGAAATGGAAGCACCAGTCTGTCTCCAGAACGCATGCGCTTTAACCTTCTTCTCTACCTGAATTCTGTCTCCTCTTGTGGGGGGTGGGAGCGTAAGGGAGAGTAGTTTTTCTATTATTCACTACATTGATACATTTATATTAGACTAGAGGCCCAATGCACGAAATTCGTGCAAGAGTAGGCCTTTCTTCCCCCAGCTGCTGGCACCAACTTCCCTCTGGCACCCAGGACCCGGGCTTCCCTCGAAGCCCCGGCTTCATCTGGAAGGTTGTACGGAAGGACATCCGGTATAGTTAGCATATTATGCTTTTATTAGTATAGATAATGTGAGGCAAAGATCCAGTGTCCTCTAAAATCAGGTAGGGTGAATAATCACGCTCTCAATTTTTGTTTTCTAACTTTTTATTATCTGCACTTGTTTACTCTTCTGAGTTATTTTTAAAAAACAATAACTTCAGCCTGGCCAGTGTGGCTCAGTGGTTGAGTATTGACCCATGAGGTCACAGTTTGATTCCCAGTCAAGGCACATGCCCCGGTTGCTCAATCTCCAGTAGGGGGTGTGTAGGAGGCAGCTGATTGATGATTCTCATCATTGATGTTTCTCTCTCCCTCTCCTTTCCTCTCTGAAATCAATAAAAATATATTAAAACACACACACACACACACAAATAACTTCAAACTTACGTGAAGTTGCAAAAATAAAAACAGTCCAGGGAACATCCAGATGCAGCTATTGCTAACATTATCTTATGTGCTTCATTATTGAGTCCCTATGTTGGAAAACAAAACAAAAACCAGCATGAGATACAATTTTCTGAACCTTTGGAGGCGAGTTATATCCATCATGGTCCTTCACTCCCAAATTCTTCATCTGTGTTTCCTAGGAATAGAAATATTCCCTTCCATAATCACAGTGCAGTGATCAATGTCATATACGTACATTATTACAGTGCTTGTAAATAACCGAGCATCCTTATTCCAATCTTACCCATTATTCTAATGACGTCATTTTTAACACTCTCCCTTGACCCACATCCATGTTTGGGTTGGGTATTATATTCTTCAGCATCTTTTCTTCTGGAACATTTCCATAACCATTGCCTTTTAAAACACCGACATGTTCAGAGCATATACTTCTCTCCCCATTTCCACCACATTCCTTATTTTGTGTTTGTGTTCTCCTGATTCAATTCGGGTTCTGCATTCTTCGCCATGGGTCTGTCCTTCTCAGGGTATGGCACCCCATGTCTATCTGTCCCTCACAGATTTTGCCTTTTTCCTCCCCTGTATAACCAGGTTTTACCTACCCTTCCTACTAGTAAGCATGCAAATATCCAGTCCCTGCCTTCCCTCTGACCCCCATTTAGTACCCATTGTACTTGCTTATCCAGTCTTACTAGTAAGCATGCAAATATCCAGTCCCTGCCTTCCCTCTGACCCCCATTTAGTACCCATTGTACTTGCTTATCCAGTCTTTTTCGTGATGGCTGCAAACAATGACGGTCAGGTACTCTTTTGCATCTGTGAGTGGGTGGGTAGGATATGTGTACTTTCTTTCTTCCTTCCTTTCTTCCTTCCTTCTTTTTTTTTTTTTAAGCATGAGAGTAACCATGAAAAAAAACACACCCAACTTTTTACACTGAAATGAAATTTAAATTGCTAGCCACATTAGACATATAGCAATTTTCCCATCAAAGTGTGGGAGTTAACATGTGTAAATACTTCTTGTCATAAGTGGCATTTACAAATTATAAAAAGTTATGATTTATGAAAAATAAGAATTTTGACACTTTGAAAAATATGGAATTAGTTTTTCTTTTAAAATTTGTGTTTTGCTCCCCTGCCAGCCTTTGGCCCACCAGGGATGCCACACACCTACCATTCGACAGTGGCCAAGTCACATGACCACTTACAAACACAGACTTCATGTATGACTATAAATGATAACTTTGTAATGGGAACGTGCACGAGGTCCCAGCCCTTGTGCTAATAATACTCAAGAAATTAAAGCTCTTACGACCTAGCAAAGGCGTGCTTAGGCTCAGGCCATGCCCGGGCTTTGGAGTCGACTGCTGGATGCGGACTCACCGTTCTGAGAGCAGAGGGTTAGGGCACGCGCTCCGCTAGTGCTCTGCCTGATAGGGTGCGGATAAGAGAGAGAGGCGGCTCCGGGACCCTGCAACGGCGAGGCTCACAGCAGAAGGGACCCCACTGGGGTGATGCGCAGGGCCACCTGGGGGTTCCCTCTGTGACGCGCTCGGTGGCCCCCAGGGGGCGCTGTCGTCAGCAGCTTGGCCCCTGGCGGCCAACAGTCTCCACCCCGCGATGGGGCAACCGGGAGGGGAAGGTTGGTCCTCCCGGGCCCCTGTAGAACAGCCCCTGCCAGGCGGGCACCATGCCCTGGTGGAGTCACCTCTGCCGTGAGTAGTGCGCCCCCCATCGGAGGTTCACCCCGGGGACCTGGCGGGCGGGACGGCTTTGAGGCCCACTGGCTCTCCGTTAGTGGCGGGAGCAGAGGTGGAAAATGCTACATCGCAGAAACATCAGCAGCTTTAGCGAGCCGACAGATGCTCTCCCTGGGGAGCCCCGAGGTGACCAAATGGGGGGTGCGGGGCCGGAGGGCGCAGGCATTGCTGTTTGGCGAGCAGCGTGAGCTGAGTGCGGCCGACTCAGAGACAATGAGGCAGAAAGCGGGGTCCGGGTTTCAAGGCGGGTTCTAGCTCCGTGCGGAGCCGCAGTCGCACGTGGTTCGGGGCCGGACACCCACCGGGAATGCGCACGTGTGCGATCCCAGTTGGCTTTTATGTTGGAACCCAGTGTCAGCCTTGGCCGCCGGGCTTGGTAGTTTGGAAGGCCGCCCCCTGGTCCTGCGGCTATTAAAGGTGTGTGACAGCTTCCTGAGGTGATCAAAGCGGTGTTTTAGGAAGCAGGGCGTCTCCGAACAGGTCCGCGGGGTGCAGGAGGCTGGTGGAGCTGAAATCAGGGCCGAGTTGCGTTTGCCCAGCCTTTGCACAAAGCACGAAGGCGCCATCTGCGCCCGCAGGGGCCCGTCTGGAAGACGTTCTCACAAGAGTAGCTCCTAGGATTACTTAGGTCAAAAGAGACTACAGACCAGTTGACAGGATTTAAAATTTTTGTAATCCTATACGTATACATTTTTTAATGTGCTCAGCCCATATTTCCCCTCTGTAAAGAAAACATCCCAATCTTGCTAAGCTGTAAGCACTACCAGTAACTGTTCTGTTCGCCACTTGGCAGCTGCTCATCTTTGTTTCCCTGGTTTTGACTGTAAACATATCCCCATCCTCCCAGAATTTAAGAAAAAAGTGTTGCAGATTGAAATGCAGATGTAGGAGCATGGAAGGAAAAGGGGTGGGGAGGATGGTGTGGTTAACACCTGCTTTCCCACTATGTGAGCAAAGTATCCCTGCATGTTCTATTGAATTCTAGAAAGGTTAGTGAATGGGTTTGTTTTTACCTCATGCTTAGTGGCAGGAAATTTATGTTTGTGCTTATTAGTAAAATTGTACTAGAATAGAGTTTATTGGGGGGGGGGGGAGTCTTGACATTTTTCCTCTGGTGAATTTCCAATGATATCATCCACCTTTTCAAAAAAGGTCACACCTCTTGTGTTGCATAAGAAGTGTTTGTGCCAAACCGGTTTGGCTCAGTGGATAGAGCATCGGCCTGCTGACTGAAGGGTCCCAGGTTTGATTCTGGTCAAGGGCATGTACATTGGTTGCGGGCATATCCCCAGTGGGAGGTGTGCAGGAGGCAGCTGGTCGATGTTTCTCTCTCATCGATGTTTCTAACTCTCTATCCCTCTCCCTTCCTCTCTGTAAAAAATCAATAAAATATATTTTTTAAAAAAAGTGGAAATACACTTAAAAGATCTTTAATTCTTGATGCAGAAGAATGACTATAAGGATCAAAATGGACATTATATCTGAATTGATTGATTAGCATTTTTTTTTCGTAAGGAAGTACTCCCTGCTCCCATTTATGCTTTTAGTATCACTCTTTTTTATTTTATTTATTTTTTTTATCCACACTTGAGAATATTTTTTTCCATTGATTTTTAGAGAGTGGAAGGGAGGGAGAGAGAGAAACATCGATGTGAGAGAGACATACATCGGTTGATTGCCTCTCGCATGAGTCCTGATTGGGGCCAGGGATCAAATCTGCAACCCTGAAATCCTTAGGTCTAGGGCCGACGCTCTAATCACTGAGCAAAACCAGCCAGGGCTTTAGTGTCACTCTCCATTCATGGATTTTTTATTTTATTAAATGCATGGTAACCCATCCCTGTTACTATTCTTTTTTATGCTTCAAAGTTTGGCCAGAAGGAGCGCCTTCAAGCTGGCTCTTGTCCTTTTGCTATGCCTCCCTCAGCTTTTGAGTTCCTCTTTTCTGCTCTCCTGAAAAATATTCTTCATACTTTCCCTGACCCAACCAGAATTTCCCAAGGAGCTCTAGTGTCTTAACCCTGTGTTTCCTATAAAGTGGAAGAAGTGATGTCTAAAACTTAATGGGTTCTAGGTCGTGGGTGTGATATGTGATTCCATTTTTCATTGCAACTGAATGTACACTGTCTGGTTGACCCGCCCTTTGTGATGCTGTGGCTACTCATTTTTTGGTAGTTGAGATTGTTAACTTTTTCTTTACAGAAAGCGCAGAGTAGTACCTTTAAACCTGAATTTTTTAAGGTCATTTGAAAGAAGTAGACACTGCCTTAATCTATTGAGATTCACAAATACTAGATAAGACCCTTGCCTATCCTGGAGTTGCCTGACATTAAAGAAAGTGTTAGCTAGTTGTGTTTTCAAAATGTTTTCGTTTTCGTGAATTGTAATATTTTATCCCTTCTTCCCCCCACCCCCCTTTTTTTTTCTGTTAACAGTTGGCCAGAGAGAATCCGAAGATGTGAATGAAAGAGGTTCAGATAAAGAGATGGCTGCCAACTCATCGGTTGTTCAGGACATCACAAAGGATGGGCAGGAGGAAATGCCTGAAATAATTGAGCAGATTCCTTCTTCGGAAAACAATTTAGAAGAACTAACGCAGCCTGCTGAGTCCCAGACTAATGACGTTGGATTTAAGAAGGTGTTTAAGTTTGTGGGCTTTAAATTCACTGTGAAAAAGGATAAGAGCGAGAAGTCTGACACGGTCCAGCTACTCACTGTCAGAAAAGAGGAAGGTGAAGAAGCAGGAGAAGCAGAGGGGGCTGGTGACCACCAAGAGCCCAGCCGGGAGGCGGGAGAAGCAACACACAAAGAAAGTGAACTGAAACAATCCACAGAGAACCCCGAGCAGCCTGGGCAACCCGAGCAGAGCAGCACGGAGATTTCTCTTCAAGCTGAGTCTGGTCAAGCAGCCGAGGAAGGCAAAGATGGAGAAGAAAAACAAGAAAAAGAACCCACCAAATCTCCAGACTCTCCAACCAGTCCAGTGGCCAGCGAAACGGCGTCACCCTTCAAAAAATTCTTCACTCAAGGCTGGGCTGGCTGGCGCAAAAAGACCAGTTTCAGGAAGCCCAAGGAGGATGAGCTGGAAGCTTCGGAGAAGAAAAAGGAACAAGAGACAGAAAGAGTCGACACAGAAGAAAAGGAAAAGACAGAAGATACCTCTGAGAAACCGGCTGCTTCGGAACAACCACAGCCACGGGAGGCCACAGAGAGTGTCCACGATGCCAGATTATCAGCTGAGTATGAAAAGGTGGAGCTGCCCTCTGAAGGTCAAGGGCAGGCATCTCCTGAAGAGAGATCCGCCCCTTTGGCAACAGAAATATTTGATGAAAAGGTAGAGATTGTTGCAGAAGTCCACGTGAGCACGGCGGAGAATGCAGAGGAGCAGAAAGCTGAGGTGGAGGAAACAGAAGAGCCCCAACCGGCTGAGAAATTGGCTGAAACCAGTGCTGGGCCGCAGGAAGCCGAACCTCCAGTGTGTGCGCCTGGAGGGGACCACACCCAGCCCCCCGAACCAGGTCCTGAGGAGCAAGCGCTGTCTGCCCAGCCGGAAGGCATCGTGAGCGAGGTGGAGATGCTGGCATCCCAGGAGAGAGTGAAGGTGCAGGGAAGCCCGCTGAAGAAACTTTTTACAAGCACTGGCTTGAAAAAGCTCTCCGGGAAGAAGCAGAAAGCGAAGCGAGGAGGAGATGAAGAGTCGGGGGAGCAGCACGTGGCCCAGGCGGATTCCCCGGATAGCCCGGATGAGCCAAAGGGCGAGAGCTCTGCTTCCTCCCCGGAGGAGCCCGAGGAGATTACGTGCCTGGAGAAAGGGATCGCGGAGGCACACCCGGAGGGGGAAGGCGAAGAGGGAGCCACTTCCGATGGAGAAAAGAAGAGAGAAGGTGTGACTCCCTGGGCATCTTTCAAAAAGATGGTGACGCCCAAGAAACGTGTTAGAAGGCTTTCCGAGAGCGACAAGGAAGAGGAGCTGGAGAAGGTGAAGAGCGCCACGCTGTCGTCCACGGAGAGCGCGGCCTCGGAGATGCAGGAGGAGGGAAAAGGACACGGGGAGGAGCCGAAGCCCGAGGAGCCGAAGCGCAAGGTTGACACTTCGGTGTCTTGGGAAGCTTTGATTTGTGTGGGATCGTCCAAGAAAAGAGCAAGAAAGGCATCCTCTTCCGATGAGGAAGAGGGACCGAAACCGACGGCAGGAGAAGGCCCCAAACCAGACGAAGCAGGAAAAGACAGAGAGGCAGGACCGGAGGCTGTCCCCGCAGGTTCCCAGGAGCACGACCCAGGGCAGGGAAGCTCCTCCCCTGAGCAAGCGGGAAGCCCCTCGGAAGGGGAGGGCGTTTCCACCTGGGAGTCCTTTAAAAGATTGGTCACCCCGAGGAAAAAATCCAAGTCCAAACTGGAAGAGAAAACCGAAGACGCTGGAACGGGGGCCGGTGCGGAACACTCAGCGGCAGAGGTGGAACCCGGGAAGGAAGAATCTTGGGTTTCAATTAAGAAATTTATTCCTGGCCGGAGGAAGAAAAGGTCGGATGGGAAACAAGATCACGCCACTGCCGAGGACGCGGGGCCGACAGAAGTCAACGAAGACGATTCCGACGTCCCGGCCGTGGTCCCTCTGTCCGAGTACGATGCCGTGGAGAGGGAGAAAATGGAAGCGCAGGAAGCCCAAAAGAGGGAGGAGAAGGCCGAGCAGAAGGGGGCGGTTTCTGTGTCGGAGGAGCTCAGCAAGAGTCTGGTTCATACCGTGACTGTGGCGGTCGTCGATGGGGCGAGGGCCGTGACCCATATGGAAGAAAGGTCTCCTTCTTGGATCTCTGCTTCGGCGACAGGGCCCCTCGAACAAGCCGAAGAGGAAGCTGGACCACCCCCTGCAGGGGTGTTGGAAAGAGAGGTCAGGGCAGAGGACAGCCCCGTCGCCACCCCAGCCCTGCCCGAGAGCCGAGATGCCGGTGAGGACGCCCTCACCAGTGAGGTGGAACCCACTCCCGAGGCCGTGACGGCTGCGGAACCCATGGAGGCGTTTGGTGCCGAGGAGGCGACCGAAGCATCTGGTGCCGAGGAGACCACCGACATGGTCTCGGCCGTCTCCCAGTTAAGTGAGTCTCCGGACACCACCGAGGAGGCCACGCCGGTGCAGGAGGCGGAGGGCGGCGAGCCCGACGTGGAGGGCCAGGAGAGGCGGACCCAGGAGGTCCTGCAGGCGGTGGCGGAAAGGGTTAGAGAAGCGTCACAGCTCGATGTCAGGGGCCCGGGAGCCGAGATTCACACAACGCGGAAAGAGGGATCCCAGCTGCCAGAGGTGGAGGAGACCGAAGAGGACCCTCCCGCGTCGGAGCTGAAGGAAGCGGTGGACGTGGTGTTGCCGGGACACGCAGGAGAAACAAAAGCTGAGACTCTGACATCAGGGGAGGTCTTTGGACAGGCTGCCCCAGAAAACGCTAGAGAAGTCCCTCAAGTCCCCGAGAGCGTCGAGTCCAGCGAGCTCAGAATCCCCTGCCAAACCGAAACCTTGGTTGGGGTAAAATCAGAGATCGTCCTGGAACAGGCTGTTGGCCCCGACTCGGCCGAAACTCTCACAGACAGCGAGACCAGTGGAAGCACCCCCGTGGCCAACTGTGAGGCTCCCCACGCCACACAGCAAGTCAAGGTCATGGAAGTCCACGCAGAGGGTGGAGGTGCATCCGGTACGAAATCGCAGGTCACGGCGGCCCAGGCAGCTCCTGCACCGAAAGAGATGCCCCCAGCACCCTCTGGGCTCCAATCCCAGGAAGAAAAGAAAGAACACTCAGAAATCGCAGGGGTTCCAGAGCATACGGATAAAGAGGTAGCAGTGGAGACTGTACCCATTCTTTCAAAGGCTGAGGCGACTCAGGAGGCTGGCCAGTTTGCTGATGAGGAAACCAGAGACGTACCCTTCGTTCAAGGACTTGAAGTGTCTGCAGACACAGAAATGACAGCTGGACAGAAAAAGGCCATTGAAGTCGCCCTTAAAGATGAAGTTACTGAAGAAGCTGATTGTCAAAAGAAGGAAAATACTGAATTCCAGAGTCCTGCTCAGTCTCTTCCAGCCCCAGGGGAGAGAGAGATGGTAGTGCAAGTGGAAAGGGAGGAAGCGGAAGCCAAGGCAGCCCCAGTGAGTGAAGAGAAGCTTGAGCCAAAACCAGCCGAAGTGCTCAGCGAGCAGCTGGTCCACACGGTTCATGTGACCGTCGTCGACGGGGAGAAGGAAGTTCTCCATTTTGAAGAAAGTTCTCCTTCGCTAGTTCAAGTCTGCACAGACAGTCAAGGTCAAAGCTCGGGGGCATCATTACCTCTAACAGCTGCCGCTGTGGAGAAGAAGATCTTAGGAGAAACCGTCAAGCTTTTAGAAGCAGCTGGACCTTTGGAGTCTGCAGATGCACGTTTGGAACCGGAAGCGAAGCCCTCTGACCAAGAAGACATTATGGGTCAGCCCGGGGAAGATGCAGCGCCCACAGGCCCAGCGTCTCCGGCAGAATCGGCCCCGGTCGTCATACCCGCCGCCCCTGCCAAAGGCGTCCGTGCTGACCTGGAAGGAGATAAAACCACCTCCCAGGAAGGGAAGTCCGAAGAAGACTGTGAGCAGGTTAGCGAGCAGGGAGACAGAGTGAGTGAAACGAGAGAGGAAGGTTTAAAGGCCGAAAAGGAGATTTTGCAGCTTAAGACTGAGAGCCATAAACTTGTGCAAGATGTCATTCAGACAGCCGTTGACCAGTTGGTAAGCACCGAAGGAACACCCACCGACTGCCAGACACCGGCCCAGCTGGCAAAGGCTGACCATCAAGAGGCTGAACAGAAAATTGAAAAAGAAGAAAGGGAACTTCAGGGCTCGGCAGAGGCTGGGGCAGCCCAAGAGGAGTCCGCACTGACCGCCGTGGGACAAACCCCCTCAGATATTTCCAAAGACGCGAATGCAGCTGCAGAGGAGGTCACGGCCGTTGAGGTCAAAGGCTCCCCAGTAAATGACCAGCTGCCTGAAGAGCTCGTCCTCCCAACCCAGGAAAAGCGAGAAGCAACCGGAACCAAGTGTGTGCCAGAATTGGGTGATCGTGCCGGCTTAGGAGAAAGAACAGAGAATGAACCCAAAGAAGATGAAAACCGTGACGCTGTCCATTACCCTGAGAACCAAATCTCAGCCCTGGTAGACCCCGAGGCCTCGGGAGACTTAACCAAAGAGTCCCCGGATGCAAATGGACCAAAACTAAAAGAGAAGGAAGTGGGATTTCAGGAAGGAAAAGGGCCGAGCGAGCCAGAAAAAGAGATCAAAACACAAACACAGGAGGAGGCGCAGGAACAAGAGAGGCAGCCAGCAACGCCAGAACGTGCGGAACCCTAAGACGTCATGTAAGCAAGCTTCTTTTTCTTCTGAAATAATTGTTTCCTCTTTCATGCCACTTGATGGCAAATGTGTTATAGGGGAAGCAGGAGTTCAAACCATGATGATTTTAGGCAGAACCTGCCATTGGGGAATGTCCGTCCACCAGATTAGGAGATCTGGGTTAATTATTTTTTTTCTCTCTCATTGAAATGCCATTCAGTCATCTTGGTGTCATGAAAATAATGATGTCATTTTGTCCTCAATGTGACTGCTTTCAAAGAAAATAAAGGCCCACATGTGCGTGTTTGGCCAAAGATCTAAGAAATATGTTGTGCTCACTCAGCCCCATACCAACTAGTCTGTTGAATTTTTTTTGTAACTAGAAACTCAAAGTAGGTTTATATTATACTGCCTGAAATTTATTTTATAGCTCTTTAGAGGAAAAATTAATTTTTTTCCAGCATTAGTCACACTTTTTTAAATATATATTTTTATTGATTTCAGAGAGGAAGGGAGAGGGAGAGAGAAACGGCAATGATGAGAGATAATCATTGATTGGCTGCTTCTTGCAAGTCCCCCAATGGGGATTCAGCCCTGACTGGGAACCAAACCTCAGCCTCCTGGTTCATAGGTCAATGCTCAACCACTGAGCCACACCGGCCGGGCTAACACACTTTTTAAAAGATTCCAGGCATGTGCCATGTTAGGGAACCACAGACATTGGCTTTGAAGTCGAAGAGCACCTTTTACTTTCTTATAGAATTAAACGATGGTATTGGAAGTGGCCAGTGACTGCAGCTCACCTTCAGTTCTTCTATGGCTATATAAATGAGGAGAGAGGAAAAGGAGACTATTTTTACTTTGGAATCTTTCTTTCTCCTCTAGTTACACGAGTGTCTTTGCAAGACCAGAATGTGAAGACAAGTGGTAGAAGAAAATGAATGCTGCTGATGACACTCAAGACCAAGATTTCAGAACTTTGAGATCCCAAGAACAGGCCCGCCAACCGATCTCATTCCCAGAGAACCCCGACAATCCTGAGGCTGCTTCGGGAGCTAGAACCAGTTCCTCCTCAAGACCGCCTGCCGCGGCGTCCCCTTGATGCCATATCGTGTTTCTCATCCGAGGTCCTGAATTCTTCACCTGGAACTGGAGTTGGCAATACCTAGTTCCACTTCTCAAACTGGAGTATCATTCTTTATGTATTTATATGTATGTCTTAAGTAATCCTCCTCCTGTATCTATTGTATATTTTTTCCTACTGTTTAAGGAGATGTGCGGTAGAGTACACTTCCGATGTACCCCAGTCTGTGATGGGGCATGGGCCATAGTGTCGCCTCGGCAGCTCTGAGCCTCCCGTAGGACCTGTGAAAACAGCTTCCTAGAATAACATTCCTGAGCAGAAGCTACATTCTCACTTTAAAATTCCCTAAGGAGAGGCCCGTGTTTAGTATTACTCTGAAGTCGGTCACTTTCCTCTGATGCACAGTGTGCTAAAAATGAAAAGCATCTTTAGGGCGGAAGCATACAGAATGTTCTGTGGTTACTGTGAAATTTTTCTTTCAAGCCCAGTGGAGGGTGGAAGTTTTTTTTTTTTTTTTTTTTTCCAGTAGTAGATTAACTTCCAGTCTTTTCTCCTAATTGTTATGGTGGTTTGGACAGATGTGGGCTTAATCCTGAGGCAAAGTAGTGAAATGTTTTTCATACTCTCAAAAAAGGATTGACTATAAGTTTTGGGTTCCGCCCTTACATGCGGGACCACATTCCTACACAGCATGAAGCAAGTCAGGCTCTTTACAATGGCATTTTGATAGATGCTGGATTGTGTCTGTGCCATATTTGTGCCCACTCTTTTAGAACAATGTTGCATTATGTTCATTTGGATAAACTGTGATTTGACAACTGATTTACTAGTAAATATTTGCTTCACTTAGATTTGCTGGTTTTATAGATACTAGGAAGGCTGAGATCTATGTTTCCTGCCTTCTGCAAGCAGAATAAGCTAGAGCTTTCTAATGTAGTTGCTGTATGGCATGACCACTTCATACCGGTTTGACTTCATGTTCAGAGGAAGTCATAGCAGATAGGTGTCTGCCAAAATAAACCAGGGGCTTTTCAGATGGACGGTACTGATACAATGCTACCATCTGGTGGTATCTTCCTGAAAAGGTCAATTTTCTGCATTAATGTTTGTTCATGATGAGTGTTTCTAGAAAGAAATTTTAAGAAGGCTTAGTAGTAAAATTGCCCTGCAACAGGAGATCTTGGAATTTTTCTAAATGTTAAAAATGATGTCTGATTCTTGCTAATATATAAAGGATTCTGTTGAACAGTTGCCACACAAAGAATAGTCCGTTATCTGCCCTAAAATTTCACTTTTCCGCAGGTAAACTGGCCTGGCAAATACACTTTTAAAATTTTACTCCAGCTCGATACTCCCAGTTTGAGAACTTAATTTCAATGACCAATTGATTTTAAAGGATAACATTCTAGAAAGACTAGAATAGCCTTTTAGCAGAAAGAACATTTGCTGTTAGAAGTGAAGAGTAGTTCCTCTGATACCAACACACTTGACTATAATAAAACATCAGCTGTAGTAGTTGCTCTGATACCAACACACCTGACTACAATAAAACATCGGTTCTAGTGTACGGCCTTCTAGCTGGAAAGTACTGACTAGCTTTTAGGAATTACTCTCATGTATAATAGCCACCTGTGCTTAATTGTTAAACTTTAAAATCTCCAAATTAAAAAAAAGAAACCTGTGATCTAAATCAGCGTTTGCCAACCCATGGTCCATGAGGTCCGAAAGGTTGGCGACCACTGGTTTAAGGAAGCCTTTGGAGCAGTGGTCACCAACTGGTGGCCCACAGACCAATGGTGGTCGGAAAGGTTGGCGACTGCTGATCTAAATAGCTTCTCTGGCCAACTTGGGACTTTTGTAAAAAAGTGCTAGTGTCAAATTTAGAAACATCAATGATTAGAGAGAATCATTGATTGGCTGCCTCCTGCACGCCCCCTACTGGGGATCGAGCCCACAACCTGGGCATGTGCCCTGACGAATAGAACCATGACCTCCCGGTTCATAGGTTGACGCTCAACCACTGAGCCACACCGGCCAGGCGCTGGTGTCAGTTTTTGAAGATCAACCAAAAAGTATTGGAGATGACAGCAATTTGGAAGGAGTTCAATGATAGCTCCAATATTGACTCAACTTCCTCTCTCTGGCAGGAAGAAACTGTGCTATTTTGAGCAGATTAAAGATTTGTGTCGTTTGTGGTAAGCAGATTTCCTTTTTTTTTTTTTTTGGTTTAAATTCCATCCCGCCACTTCATCACATTTGTACTGACATGTGGCCAAGCAGGTCATCACAACTGGTCTTCATGACTCTGCTCCGACTACATCTGGACCGGCCCTGGATTCCTTCTGTACAAGCTCTGTACCTTTGTCTGTTAAGCAACATTGTTTTACTAACGAGGAATGCTATTAGCAACTGTAGCGTGAAATACAGTTCTGTGTTATAATTCTAAAGCTGCCGTTACTTTATGAAGTTCATAGCAACCGTGTAAACTGCAGAAATTGGAGCAAGTGCCTAAATTTTGCTATTTTTGGCATTACTATGGAACCATGTACAACAGAAAGCAATGCAAGACTTGTAAACTCTCGCCACTTCTTGTAATTGAAGACTATAAAATGTGCCCCTCAAGGTTATTTTCTTAATGGTTCACACAAGTTGTCTCTCTCTGTACATGTCTACTTTGTTCCAGAAGTTTCCTTTGCTGTTTGGAGCTACAGATAGTCAAGGGCTGAAAATTTTAGCTTTCAGTGTAAGCTTCAAGCCTAGCAGTTTTCTTTAACCTAAGACAATATTTGATTCCTACTTCTGTGTGGGGGCAAATTTTCATTTATCTAAATAAAATGCAACCTAATGAAATGCCATGGATTTTCTCTCTATAATTTTTACCTTAATTCAGTTTTGCTTGCTTTTCCCTGTCATTTCGTGATATTCCTCACACATTTAACTTTTTAACTACTAAGCCATCCCTTTGTGACACTGCGCAGAGCATCATGGGAGTTTGGAATGTCTCTGGGATATGTGTGAATGTGCAAAAATCTCTGTCGGTGATTCTTAACCTTTTGGGGTCAGGGGAGCCCTTTAATTGGAATCTTATTAAACCTCTGACTGACCTCCAAAAACCCCAAAATGAGCAGTGTCATCATGTACAGTTTTTGGATAGTCACACAGACTTACTCTGAAATCCCAACCAACAATCAGAACTAGAGTTAAGTCTCCACAAGAAAGGAAATGGACACAGTTCAAGGACTCCAGGTAGTGAGCGGATAAAACCTGGACACAACCAATGTGTCCAGTAACCTCAAGCCTACATGACTATTCATTTTCAAAGTGATTCCAGAAATGGATCTGCTGGGCAACCTTGCATTTTTGTGTAACTCCAAGTTTCTCTGTGGAGAGCGGCTACAGCGTTTGGACAGGTTCAAGCCTGGGACTAATGAGAGGGCATGGTCCTCTCCTGGCAAAGCCACGTGCAAGTCCCAGCTTGGAGGTCAAAGCCCTCCCAGCACAATTATAGCCAAAGTTGTGAGCCTGACCTTATGGTCCAAACCTGTGGCCCCACGTGGCTGAGTGATGTGGGCTGCGGGAGGTGCAGCAAATAAACAAAGCTTGATCAGGTGCATGTAATTGAGTAGATTCGAAACCCGCGAGAACGTTGTAACCACCCTTACTTTGCCTCGTGGGATCCCGCTATAAAATAAAGACTCGGCGTGCAGGCCGGGCGCTGTCTCTATCAGAGAGGGCAGCGTCCCACCTAGCGCCCAGCTTTCTTCTCGTCTGTCTTTTCTAAATCCTTCAGCGCTCCCTCTCAGGTTCGCCCATTCGGCACACTCCTCGCCGAATTCCTTACCATCTCCAGCCTAGGTCACTGGAATTAGGAAAATGACCTGGGCCTAGCGGGAGTGGCTCAGTTGGTTGAGCTTTGTCCTGTGCACTGAAGTGTTGCCGGTTTGATTTCCGGCCAGAGCACATGCCTGGGTTGTGGGTTCAGTCCCCGATTGGGGCCCAAATGGGAGGTAATGGATCAATGTTTCTCTCTCTCTGTCTCTCTCTCTAAACATGTCCTTGGGTGAGGATTAGGAAAAAAGAAATAAAAAAGAAACTGATCGGGGGTCTATCTTTATACATGAGAGTTGAGATTATCACCTGCTCTTAAGTGGTAACAGGTTTAGGCTAAGGTGGCCAGGACTTGGGGATGGCATGGTGGTGAAGATAATGAAGAAAATCTTTTTTTTAATGTCACAGCTCACAAATCAAACGTTTCTTTCACTGAGGATACTTTTTCATCGATTTTAGAGAAGGGGTGGGGGAAGAGAGCGACATCAACGTGAGAAACGGCTATCGGTTGCCTCCCACATACGCCCCAACCGGGTATCGAACCCGGAACCTTTTGGTGCTCGGGACGATGCTCTAACCGAGCCACCTGGCCAGGGGGAAACCCATTTCTTGAGATAGAAATATAACCGGCATCCTTACAGCGTTCTACTCTGTAATCTCATAACTCTGTATTTTCCCATTGCTTGTGAACACTGAAATCTGTACCACCAGTGTTATATCTGACCTCTTAAGAGAAGCTTCACTATAACATTCGGATTTGGGGACGGGGTGGAGTAACAGTTCCTAACTGATGACATTAGTGTTATTTCCCTACAACAGGATACTGGATACTAGAGCCTAGTAACCACCCTGTGCTTTTCCTTCAGTTCTAATAACAGTGTAATTAGTGAGCACACGGGCAATACTTAAATTAGGCGAACTTAAATTTTAAAGCCACACTGTGCTTGATCCTGTTTATCCCTGTTGGTCTTAAGAGCTCACCTCGTACCTGGAAAAGCAGGTGGGGTTGCCTGTTGAACTTGAAACCTGAACACAATTAGGGTTCTTTTAAAAGACTTGACAGAAATGATACTATAGGGTGGGCAGGTGGGCTGTATCAAGGAATGAGATTAACCCTAACAAGTATTCAAATAGTTCAGCAGGGAAGTGAGGCTGTCTCTGCTATGCTACTATCTATGCTATGCTAGGCCTCCAAGGCAGTGCTGGGGGCTGTGAGTTTTCGGTTATCGTTCCCATTTTGTTTTTTTTTAACTTCAAAATAAGATATGTGCAGTGTGCATAGGAATTTGTTCATAGTTTTTTTTTAAACTATAGTCCGGCCCTCCAACGGTCTGAGGGACAGTGAACTGGCCCCCTGTTTAAAAAGTTTGAGGACCCCTGATCTATGCTATGCTAGGCCTCCAAGGCAGTGCTGGGGGCTGTGAGTTTTCAGTTATCACAGTGGCTAGGGTGTTACTAGAATTTTTAAAAATGCATATATTTCATTGCCTAGCAGCTAGGGCCTAGCTGGTTTGGCTCAGTGGATAGAACCTCGGCCTGTGGATCAAAGGGTCCCAGGTTCAATTCTGGTCAAGGGCACATACCTTGGTTGCAGGCTGCTCCCTGGCCCTGGTCAGGGCATGTGCAGGAGGCAACCAATCAATGTGTTTCTCTCACATCGATATTTCTCTGTCTTTCCCCCTCTCTTCCACTCTTTCTAAAAATCAATGGGAAAATATCTTCAGGTGAGGATTGAAAAGAAAATGAATAAAGATGTCTATCATTTAAAATATATTTTATTGATTTTAGAGAGGAAGCAAGGAGAGATAAAAACATCAATGATAAGAATCATTGATCTGCTGCTTCCTACACGCCCCCTGCTGGGGGCCTAGGCATGTGCCATGACTGGGAATCGAACCTTTACCTCCTGGTTCATAGATCAATGCTCAACCACTGAGCCACACCAGCTGGGCTAGAATTTGATGAGTTTAGGCCACAGATGTTTGTGATCCTGCAAGGCCAAAGGATAGCACCCTCCCCTCTTTTTAAAAAATATATTTTTTTGTATTTGATTTTTAGAGAGAAGGGCGAAGAAAGCACGAGAAACATTGATATGAGAGCAAGACATCAATCGGCTGCCTCCTGCACGCCCCATACTGGGGATTGAGCCCGAAACCCCGGCATATGCCCTCAACGGAAATCAAACCAGCAACCATTTGGCTTAAGGGACTGTTGTAGGCAGCAGCGGTTCTCAACCTGTGGGTCGAAACCCCTTTGGCGGTCAAACGACCCTTTCACAGGGGTCGCCTAAGACCATCCTGCATATCAGATATTTACATTACAATTCATAACAGTAGCAACATTACAGTTATGAAGTAGCAACGAAAATAATTTTATGGTTGGGTCACAACATGAGGAACTGTATTTAAAGGGCCAGAAGGTTGAGAACCACTAATAGACTGACATGAGCAGAGCAAGGATGAGGGGCTAGGTAGGTCACCAGGTGGAAAGCCCCAGAGGCCTAGCATAGGACAATCAACTGTAGGGTGGGATCTCGCCCCGGGTGACTCTTCTCCCCTAGCATAGCCCTGGTCTTGCGGGTTTGGATCCCCTGACCTTTCAGCCCCAGAGATAACATCTATGCCTCAGTTGGATTTCAGCTCCAGGCTCAGATAAGCAACAAAGCCAGGCACAGCTGACCTCAGGACCACTGCATTGGATAATGACCCCCTGCCCTGGTGCCTGCCAATCAGTGGGGAACACACCCTGAAAGGATACGCCTAGAAAGCTGCTGAATATTCTATTAAGATCATCCCCTGGCCCTGGCCTTCGTGGCTCAGTCGTTGAGTGTTGACCTATGAACCAGAAGATCACAGTTCAATTCCTAGTCAGGACACATGTCTCGGTTGCTGACTCGATTCCCAGTGTGGGGCTTGCAGAAGGCAGCCGATCAATGATTCTCTCATCATTGATGTTACTATCTCTCCTCCTTTCCTCTCTGAAATCAATTTTAAAAAAAACAACACAAAAAACAAAACCCTTAGGACATGCCCTATCTGGTTTTTCTCAGTGGTTAGAGCGTCAGGCCGAGGACTGAAGGGTTTTGGGTTCCATTCCAGTCAAGTGCACGTACCTCTTGGGTTGCAGGCTCAATCCTCTGCCCTTGCCCTGGTTAGATGTCTCTCTCTCTCTCACTCCATCCCTTCCACTCTCTCTAAAAGTTCATGGAAAAATATCCTCGGGTGAGGATTAACAAAAAATTAAAAATAAAATCCTTAGGATGGAGGACCCAGTGCGCTCTTCCTCCTGGGAGCATGCTGGTACCTTTCCCTTTCCCTCCCCCTTCCCTCTCCAACCCGCCCCTCTCCTTCCCTGCCCCAGGCACTTTACTGTCAGCTTCCTCACTCCCAAGCTCCAAGGGCCCTTCCTTTGCCTCCGTAATTTGTTTCCCTAAACTCATTTCTTCTAGAAATTACTTTTTCTGCCTCTGTGATTTACCCAGTACATGTTCTCTTACAATTTGGGTCTTGGCTCTGAATTCTTTTCTAACCCAGGTTTGGTCTGACCGCCCCCCCTCCCCCCCCCCCTTCCTGTCAGACACCTGGTGCTGTTCCCACTACCTCACAACCCAATCAACTGAGACACACCTGCCAAGACAGGATAGCCCTTCTTAAGGATTTTCCATCTTCTTTCAAAAAATGTATTTTTATTGATTTCAGAGAGGAAAGGAGAGGGAGAGATAGAAACATTGATGATGAGAGAATCATTGATCAGCTACCTCCTGCATGCCTCATACTGGGAATCGAGCCCCAAACCCAGGCATACTCGTATGCCCTGACTGGGAATCGAACCGTGAACTCCTGGTTCATAGGTCGATGTTCAAGCACTGAGCCATGCCGGCCGGGCCATGTTCTTTTTTAGAGAGGAAACATCCACCTCATGCCATCTGCGTTTCCTTTCTCTCCTCCTGTCCCTGGTGCCTTCTCAGGTTTTGTGGCTGCTAGCACATCCCCCAGAAACACTTGCAGGGGGGCCATATGGGGTGG